TTGCACGCCAGTCACCTCCCCCTTGCACACGTGTGTGCACCCCAGCTGCACCTGCTTTGCTGCCCCCTTGCACACGCGTTGCACACCCAGGTCAGGGCGCTACGGTTGCACTGCCACGTGCGTGCACACCCAGCTGCCTCCAGCACCCCCTTTGCACACCCCTTGCACACCCAGGTGCGCGCCTTCCCCACCCCCCCGCGCCCCGCCCCGTGCCCGCGAACCCCACCCTCGCGCATGCGCCGTGCCCCCCCGCAGGTACAGGGAGGAGGAGGAGGAGGGGGGCGCGCGGCCCCTTTAAGGGGAGCGCCCGGAAGGGCGCGCGCGCGCGCCCCTCCTGACCACGCCCCCGCCCTGCCCCGCCCCGCGCCCCGCAGCGCACCGGCACCGGGCGCGGCGGCGGCGGGAGCGGGGGGTCGGGGGCCGGGGGGTCGCGGGTTCGAATCCCGGGGCCGCTTCCTTTTTTTTTTAATTTTTTTTTTTTTTATTTTTTTTTTTTTTGGGGGGGGGTCGGGCTATGGCGCGGCCCCCCGGGGTGCTGGTGCTGGGCGCCCTGCTGCTCCCCGCCGCCGCCGCTTTTAACCTCGACACCGTTTTCCCGGTGCTGAAGGAGGGCGCCGCCCGCAGCGGCTTCTTCGGCTTCTCCGTGGCGCTGCACCGGCAGAGCGAGAGGCAGGAGCGGTACCTGTGAGTGGGGGGGGGGGGCATGGGGGGGGGGCGGTATGGGGTTGGGGGGGGGGGTCTGGGGGGTGTGGGGGGTTGGGGTGCACCTGGGGGAGGTCCCCGGGGGGGTTTGGGGGGTCCCGGGGGGTCCCGGGGGGTCCTGGGGGGGTGGGGGGGGTCCCGGGGGGGCTAGGTGCGAAGTGGGGGGGGGAAGGGGGAGGGGGGTGCAGAGATTTTGGGGTTTTGGGGGTGGTCTGGGGGGGTTTGGGGGGGGTTTGGGGTGGTTTGGGGGAGGGTTCAGGTGTTGGGGGGGGCAGAGCGTTGAGATTAGGGGAAGGTGGGGGGGTGGGGGGGGGGACTAAAAATGTACCCCCCCAAAAAAAAAAGGGGTTTGTGTCCCCCCCCCCGTGCTTTGTGCTCGTTGGGGTGGGGGTGTCCCGGTGCTATGGGACAGGGACCTCCCCCTCCCCTCCCCAACCCTACCTGCGACCCCCTCCCTGACCCCCCCCCACCCCACCGGGTCCCATCCCACTGTAGGAACCCACAAGCTGCAACCCCCCCAGCTCAGCCCCCAGCAGCCCCCTTTTATCCAGTGCTCCCCAAACAAACCCTAAATCCGACCCCAAACCCTGACCCCAAACCCTAACCCTAAACCCCCAACCCGTCCCCAAATCCCGCTGGCAGCCCCCTTACTACAGGAATTTGGGGGCAGGCAGCCAGCACGGTTTGGGGTTTTCCTCGCCTGGGGGGCACCCATGGGGTGGCACCCGGGGGCTCCCTGTGCCCTATAATATTTTTTTTTGGGGGGGGGGGGACACCCGGTGGCAGAGCAGCTGGGGCGCGTGCTCCAGCATGCCACGGATGCATTTCGGCTCTCGCCTTCTATAGGGTTGCCCAGTGTAGCTGTCCCAAAAGAGTGGGGACAGGTGGGGGTCCCTTGGGGGGTGTCCCCAAAAAGTTGGGGGGGGGGACATGGGGGCAGAGCGGCTTCGTGTGGTGTCGGTTGGTTGCCGCTTTGGACCCCAATGGGGTCCCTGGTGTTGGGTCTGGAGCTGGTTTTGGGGTCCCCTGAGGTTCGGGGTGTGAAATCCTAATATTGGGGGATGCTTTGCAGCCCTGGGGGGGGGGCTTGGGGGTTTGCCACCCCCCCTTGGGCGCGAGGAGGGGGCTGCCGGGATGCCGGGCGCGCGTCTCCGCTTCCCCGCGGCGTTTGGGGCGAGTGCGGGCAGGTTTTGGGGAGGAAACCTACAATTGAGCAAAATACCCCAAACCTGAGAGCCCCCCCCTGCTCGGGGGGGTGCCACCTTCCTGCTGCCCCCCCCCAGCAGGATCCGACCTTTGCTCGGTGTGGTTGGGGTGGCAGGGGTGACACCACCCCTTCCTCCTGGGCTGTCTGCACTGGGGGGGGGCACAGCCTCTTTTTAGGGTGGGGGGCACCCCAAAAACCCCCCCCACTAAACAACCCCCCCCCGTACGCGGGTAGCACCGGGGCGTTGGCTCCCCGGCCGTGCCCTTTGCTGGCTCCAAAGTGCAGGTGTGAGCAGGGTGGGGACAGGAAGGGGGGGGGGGGGACGCTTCCTGCCCCATTCCCCCCCCCCCAGCAAGATTTTGGGGTGCTCTGCCCCCCGTCATCCCCTTCAGCAGACCCCCAATAATCCTTAGGGGACCCTATAATGGGAGGGGGGCAACCAGGGGGACCCCCGCGGTGTCCCCGTACCCACAGAGGTGGCTTTGGGGGGGGGGGGGGGGGGGGTTGATCCTTGTGCCCCCCCCCCCCCCGGATTGAGGTTTTGTTTGCTCCTGGGGCCAGGTGGAGGCGTTATCAGCGATAACCGCACGGCTCCCTCGTTAGCAGGGTTAATTAATTAACGCAGCTCCCAGCTCGGAGTGGGGGGGGGGGGGGCTGAACAACACGGGGAAACTGAGGCACGGAGAAAGGTGGGGGGGGGATAAGGCAGCCCCTCCATCTGCCCCCCCCCCCCCCCGCCCTGTGCCTCAGTTTCCCTCCTGGGGGGAGCGGGGGGGGGGGGGGCACAGTCTCCAGCTGGCAGCAGGGGGGGGGAATTCTCCATTTTTTTATTTTTTTAATTTTTTTTAATTTTTTAATATTTTTTTTCCTTTTCCTCCCCCCCCCCCCCCCCATGCCCCCCCCGCACCAGCCAGGGCCTGTCGGGAGCTGCCGGGGGCTGCGGCGCCTTGGCAGGGGCTGGAGCCCCCCCCCTTTACCCCCCCCCTCGCCCGCCTCCTCTGTGCTGCCTGCATCAGCAGATTTGGCTGAGCAGGGATTTTTTTTTGGGGGGGGGGGTTAAAAGCCCCCCCTCCTTCTTGATGCTCCTGTAACAGCACCAGAGGTGGGGATGGGGCGATGGGGGGGGGATTTAGGGCTGGCACAGAGTAGCAAGGATTTTGGGGGGGGGGTATGGAGGGGTATATGGCACATAGCCAGCTTTTTTTTTGGGGGGGGGCAAGGGGGGAGCTGAGCCCTTTGGGGCCGAGCTCAGCCCCGTATGGCCCCGATCCCCCCCCCCGGGGTGTTGGTGCTGTGGTGTGGGGTCCGAAGGGGCCCCCCCTTCATTTGCCAGGGCGGATTAGGAGGGGGCCCGGCCTCCAGCATTCCTCCATCCCCCCCCCCCCCCCCCCCAGCAATTCCCCCCCCCGGAGCTTGCTCCATGGGCTGGAAAGGACGAGCACGAGGCCTTGGCTCAGCCCCATCCCGGCCCCCGCTTGGGCTGGGACCCCCCCCCCTTTTTTTTTTTCTCTTTATTTTTCCTTGGGCTGCTGCCACAACCAGCCCCGTGCCCCCCCCCCCTTTTTTTTTTTTTTTTTTTGGGGGGGGGGGTTCTGAAGCCCTCAGCATCCTCAGCCTCCCCCCCAGCTCTGAGCATTTCCCTGGCAGCTGGAGGCAGGGGGCTGGCGTTTTTTCCCCCCCTTTTTTTTTTTTTTTTTTTTTTTTTGGGATGGGGGGGGTGTCAGTGCCCCCCCCCAGGAGGGGCACGGTGCTGGCAGGAGCCTCCTGGGCTCCCTGACTCACAGCCCTGAGTCACTTCCTTGGAGGTGAGCAGCGGGCAGCGGTGCCCTCCTGTTATTTCAACCCCCCCCTTCCCAAAATAATTGGGGGGGGTCAGAAATGAGGGCTCCAATCTCCTTCAAACGCCCCCCCACCCTCTGTGTCCCCAGGGGACGGAGCATCCCAGGAGGGATGCTCGGCCCCCCAGCCCCATTTCCATCCCTTTTTTTTTTTTTTTAGGGGGGGATTCTGCAGCTGAGCAGCTTTCCCCCCCCCCTTTTTTTTTTTAATTTTTTTTTTATCCCCCCCCCCCAATGCCACTGGCTCGGTGCCTGTCCCGGCGTGCCGGGGCCGGGCCGCCTGGGGCCCCGCATTCCTCCTGCGTTTGGGCTTTGACTCAGCCCGGACGCGCCCGTGCTACCGGTGCCAGCTTTTTTTTTTTGGGGGGGGGGGGCACGTGCCCCTTTTTCTGTCCCCCCCCACCTCCAAAAAAAAAAAAAAAAATTTTTTTTTAATTAAAAATCAATCCCCATCTGCTCAGGATGGCCGTGGGGTAGGGGGGATGCTGTGAACGGGCTCAGTGCGCCGGTGCCCCCCATGGGATGCGCTGGGTACCTGGGCACCGCTGTCTGTGCCCCCCCCCTGCCTCGTGGATGTGTGTCCCCCCCCCACGGGCTCAGGGACGCTGTTTCCTGCCCTGGCACCCACGGCCGTGCCTCCTCCTCGCCATTGTCCTCGGACTTCCCGGCGGAAAGGCCTGGCCTTTCCGCAGCCCCCCCCCCCCCCCCCATCCTCCTACTGTCCCCAAAGCCCCCCCCCCCGCCCGGTACCCCCACATCCCCCCCTCCCTAGGCACTGATGGTTTGGGTTGGGGGTGCTGGGGGGGGGCTTTTATTCTACATTATTATTAACCACACATCATCCATCCTGGCATGCCAGTGTGCCCCCCCCCCAGCGTGGCACCGCAGGGACCCCGGGGGGGGGGGGCTGAGTCACCCCAAAAGCACCCCCCGGACCCCCGCGTGGGGTGGGACAAGCTCACTCGTGCAAGCAAGGGCTGGGCCTTGGGGAGCTTTTTTTGGGGGGGTTGTGGTGCTGGTGTCGTCCCCCCCCCCCTCCCCGGCTGGGCTGTTTGTA